AACGGTTGTGTCATTGCTACCGAAGGCATGCCCACACCCTTGGTAAATGCTTCGCTCACAAATGAACGTTGTGCTCCGGTATCGATGAGAATTCTCGCGTCCCTATCGTTGATCTTTAGTGTCCCTACATACATAAGCCATGTAAGCCACACTACTCAACATACCGACTGAAAAGGACCGAATGAAAATTTTTCAGTCTAGGGATACCCTATACCCGGTCGGGTAAGGCCCTATACCCGGTCGGGTATTACTCGAGCCCTTAGGGAAGAGGCTTCCTGATTCCTTTGCCCGGTCGAGTACACGCCTCGAATTCGGATGAAATGTCAATACCCGGTCGGGTGTATTCCTATACCCGGTCGGGTATCACTCGAAATTTTCAACAAATGGCTTCCTGTCCCCAACGCTCGATCGAGTACACACTTTGAAGCCAAAATTTTACACATACCCGATCGCGTATATAGACATACCTGATCGGGTATTGCTCGAAGTGTCAAAAGCGGACGATCCTACCACGCTTGTCCGAACGGGTACACACTTCGAAGCCAAAAATTTATACATACCCGATCGAGTATATAGCCATACCCGATCGGGTATTGCTCGAAGTGTCAAAAACAAAAGATCCTGCCACGCTTGCTCGAACGGGTACACACTTCATAACTGAAACATAGCCTATACCCGGTCGAGTCTATAGGAGTACCTGATCGGGGCATGCATATATTCTGAAGGTTTTTCTCCAAGTAAATGAATAAAATGCATGTGTAACCAATAGATTACCTGCAATGGAGTCCGGGTTGGCCCGAGCATCTGCCTCGGTCATTGCATACACCCGTGCATGGGTCCTCCCTTGGTTAACGGACGCGGCGTTGCTAGCCGTGGGTCCGTTCCTTCCTGTGCCGGCCTGGGATGGTCCCGCACGTCCCCTACTAGCTGTAGCTTCTTCCATAACCCCCGATGGTCCCCCTCCATTCAACATTGGGCAAGAGGATTTGAGGTGGCTCGTGCTACCGCATTTGTAACACCGGGGTGGTTCATTGCACTTCCCCGCGTGGTTCTTGCCGCAATGTGCGCACCTCGGTGACCACGTACTCCCTGATTTGGCCCCTTGCAACCATCCTCATGTTTCAGGTTTGTGTACTCTCTTCTTTTGAGATTGACTTCAAAAGTTGAGTAGTACTGATTATAAAATTCCACTTCGAATTTCTCCCAAGTGGCCTCCCGTGGAACTTCCCTTCCACGCCTTCCCACCACACTGCAGCTACCCCATCAAGTAGCTTGGTGGCAACCCTCAACTTCACGTCGAGTCCAATTTGCATATCCTAAGAAGCATCATTCAGCTTCTTGATCCAGTCGGCGGCCTCAGATATGTCGCCCTTGCCATCAAATGATTTGCACCCCAAGGCCCTAGCCTCCTTGAGGTACTTGGAGATACGTACCATCGTGCCTCCTCCAAATGCTCCAGATGGAGCACTAGAAGCTCCCCGGCTTCCTTGTCCCATGGCCTGCCTAGCCTGTCTAGCTTGGCGCCGCTGTTCTCTCTTTGCCTTATTCTCGAGGTACCATTCTAGTACCTCACTCATACGATCATAATGACGACCGTCATCCTCATCTTCTTCATCAAAGTCCTCCCCGTTGTACGGGGTCTCCTCTTGCTCCGTGCTTGGAGCATATGTGAAATCGTCCGGTTCGGTGGCCCAAGACGGGTGCACAGAACCGACACGCGTGCTACTTGCCGTCAGCATTGTAGAACGCCCACAACCCCTGCCTCGGCCTCCTCCTCGGCCTTGGCCCCGGCCTCTACCCCTAGATGTCCGTGATTCAGCCCGTGTATCGTGCCCGGTGGCCCCCGGTGCACGACCAGTCGGGTTCCTCCTAGTAATCCTGCGTCCACCCTCCATTTCTGAAAGAAATAAGGAATGAGCCATTAGACTCGTTTCAATGTCAATTGACGGATTAGTACAAAAGACACCACTTGGTCCAACATTATGGCCAACAAACTGTTAAGGGTACCGTCTTAACAATAAGAGGTCAATAACTTGGTTTCCAACGGTTCCTTAGGTACAAAAACTTTCTGCTCGTGGTTTTGTTAAAAACTTTTTGATGGTAAGATATTGAGAGGTTAATTATATAGTTTAGAAATCGATGGCTCTAATACCACTTAATTGTCACGCCCCAGACCGCTTCCGGGCCACGTAGACAACCGCCGTACAACCCGATAAGAACAACAACAGTTCATCCCCGTTGAATTGTACAAGGCGTCCGATTGATTCTATTGCCAAACCGATTAGTAAACACATACAATCAACATCAATATCATAATCAACAAATGCGGAAATAATAATATGTTTAATACTTAGCCACACGTGGCAAACATGGGCACGCAGGCCCCAAATGTTTTAAATAAAACATTGTTCAAAAATCCATGAGCAGTTTATAAATTTGAAATAAGAATGGAAGCACGAACCGCATCTTCCTTCTTGATCAATCACCCTAGGCAAAAGTGCAGGTAGTAGGACTCTAGCTTTAACCTGAAAAATGTGAGGCCCCCCGGAGGGGTCAGTACTCCATAGAAGTACTAGTGACAAGCAAGCTATATGAAGAATAACTAATGTTTCAGACACGAGACCCAAAAATAGGGTGATACATATATATAGATGTCTCTCATCCACCCGATGATACATACTGTATATATACTCGTAAAATACTCAACCCGTAGGTCATTTACCTTAAAGAGTCTTTTAGAGATAAAGTTCTTACCTGACTTTTCTCACTCCCTTCCCGGTTGCCTAGCTCACAAGCTATAGTCTACCTTCATTTTAGAAGTCTCCGAGATTCCTTTTCGGGCTGTTATCTGCTAAATTGCCGATACCGATAATTTGGCCCCGTTTGACCAACCAGTCAACCCTATGCCATTGCCACGGCCCACTTAGGATATCCACCACCATTACATATTATCTAGGTCAAGATTAATATAATATGTGATCCTGACAGTACCGGGCGACCCCCACTTCCGGTGTGAGCCCCACGTGAATTTTACTATTCACGTAAAAGAAATAATAAAAATTTACAATCTCGTAAAAATGCTTTTATTTATTTCTCAGGGTTCAATACATAATTTGATAAAGTACAGATACTTGGGGCGGTGTTACATAAAGGGTCTGTAGTGGCATTTTTTGTCGGAGTTTATAATGATTTCTTTTCACTCCCAAGTAGAAAAATGCCACTCCAATATGCTGAAACATTTAAAAATTCATTAATACAACTTATTTTCACCAACTACTATACGATGTGTAGTTGTAGTAGTAGTGGTAGTATAAATGGCTTCCTTTTCACCAACTAACATACTTGCAAGAAGAAAAAACTCCCAAGTTTGTGTACCCGGGGATGAACTCTCGGACATGGAACCAAACAAGGAATGAATCATAAAATGGGAGAAGAAAAAAGGGGAAAGCCCTACAATCTACCTGAGGTCGAAGGCCGAACTAGGGTTTGCAGAGAAGGTAGAGAGAGGCAAGAGCAAGCTAGAGAGAGGAAGAGAAAGTTCAGAAATCCGGAACAAATGACCTAAAGCTGGTATTTATAGATCACCACACCTAATCAATAACGAACCATGGGGCAACACATGGCGGGGAGCATCCCCTGGGGCACGTGTCACACAGAGGGAAAAGGTCAGATTATCATGACCTATACATAGGGAAATTAACCAACAACCGCTAAAACCGTCAAACCTGAACATCCGGGGTCGACGAACAACGGGCCGACAGTCGTACGGGGGTGCCGAATGACTCAATCATCAGAATAATCACGTCTACTAAGAAATGAAGTAGGACATCGCTTCATTACCACGTGGAACTCATGTTCGGGTTTGGCACACGGCCCCAATCTCGGGAAATGCACGCTGAGGAAAGCGCGAAACGACGAAGCATCACAAGATAGCTAGATGGTCCGACAACACGATAGAGCCGTGTGGTGCCAAAGAATGGGACTTCTACTTCCTTATGTCTCAGGCAAGCTTGGAACATCAAAAGGGGGCTTGTGTTGGGCTATTAGGCCCCGGCCCAGTAGATGCCAAATATCCTTGAAGCCCCAAGTCACATATGAGCCACGCGCAGATATAGCCATCTCAAGGCAGGTGTTCGGCACCCGTGGACGAGCATTGCCGTACGATTTGTTCCCCCCTTAGGCTTCTATACTCAATCCAATAGCTGCCCATGACAGAACGTCCCAAAACAATTGGCATGAAACATTAGAAGTGACGGGGAAACACATTTAATGCACCAAATACATAAGATTTTATGATTGGGGTCCATTCACCCAGGGTCGCCCTCGTCACCCCTTCACCCACCAAATTGTAGTATAAATAGCAGCATTTATTTTATTGTAAGAGGTTAGCAACTTTTTTACTTTTAAGAATTAGACTTCTCTATCTACTTTTCTCAATATTATTCAACTTATTCTTAGTGGGTTGGAGCACCGATTGGCATAAGTGTGTAATTGTTCTATAGACTTTAATGGTTTCGGGTTCCACTTTGCCTTTAAACACACTGTCTTGCTTTGTTATCTCTATGCACTTAAGCTCACAAAAAAATTACCATTCGTGTAATTCCAACGAGGCCAAAGGACTATGTTGGGCCAATGGACACTTGAGGAATAAATCTCAACATCGTATTTTTGGAAATGAATAAAAAAGGGGAGAATGATCCTGTTAGGCCGGCCTGACAGGACCCGTCATCCGGCCATGACCATATGGGGCCTTCATGATGATTTTTTTGATGAAATATTATGAGAATGTTTTTCATCAAATGTAGATTATCTTCACAAAATTTCATTGTAAAATTCAATCGGAAGATCAATTAAATAAATATACATAAAGCACAGTACGTTTCAATATTTTATTTGAGTGACTTTTTAATTGAATTTTAAATTGAAATTTTGTAAAAATAATTTACTCCGCTAAAGAACAAATTTGATACAAATGAAAACCCTCAAACTGGTACCGGAAGAAATGGTTAATCTAAAAAGGTGAATGCTGAACGGGAGCCTACGGGGATAGAATCATAGAATCGTCGCCGTTATCACCGCACCCTTGAACCTTCCCGGTAAAGAAAACGCCGTAATGCCATTTTTGTCTCCGTAGAACGAGTCGCGTGCCTTCCGATTCCATTATATTGGTCGTATCTCTTTTGTCGGAGGGCGAAGGAAGTGAGGCTAGGCGGGCCCGACTTCACCGCCATTTCCTCATGTCGTCGCATCGGCGGCGCCACCACCGCTCAAGGTCTTTAGTTCCGGCCATTTTTATTGTCTCCTGCATCATTCTCGTCCTGTTTCTTTCCATTTCATTGCTCGCACCTCCCTTCACTGATAGCAATCGACCCCACTACCGCCGCCGTGATATCTCGGTGATCCATTCACCAACTTCTCTTCCTCTTACTTATGTTAAGGATGCATATATGAATTACGGTACACGCCGATATATATATCTGTATATATATGCATGTACTGACTTTTAGATACATATATGTGGGGCTTTACAGGTGAACGAAGGCATCGACAATGGGACTAGAGTTCATGTGTTTCATGTTCCGGTTAGGGCTAATCCAAAGCCATATCTTGTGCTCCAATTTGTTTTCATCATCATTAATATTTTCTAAACGTGACATTTTAATTACCCTGATCTAGACCCGTGGAGGAATACATGATCAAGATCTATGGAAGTCAAAAAATGCCAATTTCTTCTTTGGATGCAGTAACTCCAGTAGTAAATTTGCAAGTACGTTTAGCTTGAATAAACAACTCATAGTTAAGCTTCTTGCCATTTTAATTTGTTTTTTGTACAACCCGCACCTTATTAAGATTTTTCCCTTTCTGCTTAGCTTTCTTATAATGTGCTCCTTATGGGCTCACATAAGTGAATTTAAGTTATGTAGACTGGAACATTTTTGTCTAAAGGTTGTTGCACATTGCACACTTCCATCCTTCCATGTGATCATTTTTGGATTTCATTAATACTGGAGCTCTTTTTATTCTTTTTGGTTTTATTTGCAGATGCCAAGATCTTAACACATCCAAATTGGTACTTGTCAATTGCAACCAGTGGAGGCCTCAACCAACAAAGGACAGGGGTAATTTTCTATGAAATGTTTTTGACAATCAGTGGTGGAATTTGATGTATTTAAGAAAAGAATGGAATAATATAAAGTACAGGGGATAATGAAAGTGGAACCATAGAGAAGATTTTCCTATGTTGCACACATTCATCAGATGATGATCATATGACTACTTTTATATGTAGATGTAGTATCGCCCAATGGGTATGTGCTACATAGGAATGTCTCCGTATAATATGCACTTTTGATGTCACAGACTTATTCATGGAACAATTCATGGAACAAATGTGATTACTAGTTGCACATGCTTAGTGCTCTTAAAGGAAGTTATTGTTTAATTGAAGTTAACCCAAGTACAACAACATCCAAGCTTTATTCTTTAAAGAGTTTGGGGTCAAGCTAACATGAATCAACATATGAAATTGAAGTTAAAAAGGATACAAAGAGATCAATCCTCCACACGTATACGCTCCCCCACTTCGTTCTCTTCAAAGTCATACCCTTATCCACTCCACGAAGTACCATATCATCCCTAAACACTCTAATACACGTCTGTTTGGGTCAATCTCTCCCTCTTCTCCTGACCTCTTTCCACCTCATCTCAATTTGTCTAACAAGTGCATCACTCGGTCTTCTACACACATGACCAAACAACCCCAATCAGTACTCTCATCTTATCTTCAATAAGTACCACTCTCACCTTTTACTAGATATTCTCATCCATCTAGCAATTTTTCTAGTATGTTCACTGTTCACATATCCAACACAACATGCGCTTCCCAGTCACTCATATTTTGAATGTGATATTGTTTCAGCTCAACACTCTACACAATACAATAGTGTATACCTAATTGTTGTCCGATAAAATTTAACCTTCAATCTAGTTGGCATACCTCAGGATCTATGAAATCCTGATACACTCTTCCATTTCATTCACAGCCAAGTAACGGAACATATCACTAATTGGTATTTCCTGACCATCTATGGTAATCCCATTGTTACCACTACAACTACCTCCACTAAATATCCACTCCATATACTCAGTCTTGCTTTGACTCAGTTCTGTTCTCCATAATTTGTAGCTGTACTTCCAACTTCGCTTTTAACATCTTATCTTGTCTCGTCAATTTTGAATTGATTTCGTAAGTTCATCCACGACTAAAGCAAATAAGAAAGAACTTAGAGCTTTAATGAGGTTAACCCAATACTAATAAATACTTCCGTATAAACTGATCGCCAAAATTTTGCAGTAATCTCCTACAATTTACTCTGGGAAAATAATATCTTGCACCCAAGCCCATCATTCTTTGAGTTCATCACTGTTATGATTCATGCAATCAGTTTAATAATAATAGCTTTTGGATTAATGGGTTTCCTGGTGAATATTTATTGGCCTCGAATGAAGTACTCAATATAGTTGTAAAAATTTATTTCTAAGAATTTAGCTATTTCTTTTACACAAGAAGATGAAATGAAAAAATAATTAAAATAAATGGGCGAAGGACAATTGAATATTTTCTTATGTGTTTGAACCTAGATATTTATGTTGTAATGTATTTTCCTGAGGTTGTTTTGTGTGTTTTGCTGAACACGAGAATATTAATATTGATTGTTCAATACAAATATATTGTAATTCTCACTAGGATGCATTTGGGTAGAAAGAAAGGTACTCACTGATTAAATATTTAGGAATGCTGAATACTTTCCCATCCACATGACAGATAATTGATGCTGTTGTTGTTGCTCGCATCATGAATGCTACTCTAGTTGTTCCAGCATTGGACAAGAAGTCCTTTTGGAAAGATTCCAGGCAAGTATCGATAATGGACTGTATTAGTTAACTTAACCGTGTACCAGTTTCTTTATTCCAAGTAATTTGTTGATGGGAATAAACTGAAAAGGCATTTTTGTTATTTAACTCCTGCTGGCAACTCAAAACTTCATCAACTTGCATCCACCTTTCTTTTTGCAGTGACTTTTCAGATTTATTTGATGCTGATTTCTTCATATCTCATCTTGCAAATGATGTGATAATCATAAAAGAGCTTCCACTTAATAGAGGAAAGACGTGGAATCCATATACTGTTCGAGTTCCAAGGAAGTGCAGTGAGAGATACTATATAAACCGTGTTGTGCCCATACTTAATAAAAAACATGTAAGTTTTCCTCAGGTTTATAGTAGACACAACCAAGGTTTGAAATTGTGTATTGCGTAAATGAGGCATTTTTGTGGTACTGCGTATTGTAAGCTTCATGGCAGATTGAGGTGTAACAATGAGGCAACGATGAGGCGTAAATCTTAATATGCAGGGCAATTGTGTATATAATAATTTAGAAGTAACTAGAAATAAATATTAATCCAAAACAACACATTTCATAAACAAACCAACAAATAAAAGTCATAAAGTAATGCAAATAGTGATGATGTTTAATTTCTACTAATCCTTCTGGTTGTGTGTAGTGCAACATTTGCATCTAACATACCTGTATGGTTTCTCTTGTACTCCCGATTTCTTTACTTCAAACCCGTGTTCCCAAGCCGGGTCTTGTTCATCCATCGTAAACATATTGTACCTTACCACAAGAATATCTTATTTTAGCAAATTATATGAAAAGTATACTATTAGTATTTAGGAATATATAATATCCAACATACTTCCTTTGTCTATTAAAACTTTTCCATCTTCGACTTTTCAATGTAATGGTGATAAACTTTAGCCAATAATCTTTATCAGTATAATTTATAAAAGTTATAAATTTTATACGTTTATGAAATTATTTTCGACAAAGAACGTTTTTGTATACTTTTTATATTACAAATCATTTCCTATAAATATATATTATTGGTCAATGTTTAACTTGATTGACCAAAAAATCCAAAGATGGAACTTTTTTTAATGGACGAAGGGAGTATAATTTATTTTAGCAAAATATGCAATATAAATTATATTACAAATGATTTGAGCATCATAAACGCAGATTATAAATAGAAATATATAATATAATGGTACAAATATAATTTTATATACTTTAATTTAATGGTATAAATTCAATGAAAAATAAAATCGACAAACATGCAATAATTTAAATTTACAATTATAATTTTATGTACCTTTTTATAATTAAATTTCTATGAAAAGTAAAACGTTTACAAATTGACCAACATGGAAATCAACATGGCGCATGAAGTATACAGGAAAGCATTAATTAAATACAAATAAATAAAAACCTTAAGGATTTCTACATAATTAAAAAAAATGAAGAAATACAGAGTATTTAGTCTTTGTACTAAACTTACGATTCCTAAGATAAAAAAACTTTTAGTACCTTGCGGGGGAGTTTTGACCTTGCGAGTTGCGGAAGAATAATTAAGAATGTAAAAACGACTCAATCGCCGGAGCTTAGTTCGACTCTTGCAGACGATGAGCACAGAGACGTGAAGGAGAGGTGAGAGATGAGTAGGAGATAGACGTACATGTAGATGAATCAATGAGATAAGTATTATCAATTATTGAAATATTTATGGGCCCAAATATTTCATTTAGTCTTCTGCCTTTTTATTCCGTATGCTTAAGGTGCACCTGATTGCGTGTGCCTTATAGCGGACGCCTCACTCTAAAAGGTGAAAGTGTTGCTATGGTGTCAAATGAGATATGCCCTTTATTGTATATACCCTCGAAATTGATAAAGCGCGCCTCAAGGCACAGTTCTATTGCGCAATTTCGAACATTGAACACAAACTATTTGAAGCTGCACACAATTGCATTTAACAGTTTTAATGAACTTAGCCTATGATTTCACTGAACACTTTGGGACATGGAACATTTAGTTTATTCCGGGAAGATCATCGGAGGTAGCTGAAGTTATGAGACGGGGGAGGAATATGAGCAATATGTGTGTGTAAGAAATAAAGTGGTTTGGTGAGAAGGCACGAGAGATTAATCGTGGAGGTTTTAAGTTGTGATATTTGGAGAAAGAGAAGATTAGAAATGAGGTAGACATTATTGTGACGAATGACTATATATGGTGGAAGTCTTTTGGAAGGATCACCTCATTATGAGCACTAAATTAGTGGTAGGTGATGAGATCATGTTTGTGGTAAGTGCTGATGCACCACAAGTGGGGCTGAATGCATTTATAATTCAAAAATTCTGAAAAGTCTTGAGGAAGTGGTGCAATAACAGCGAGAGTGAGAGAAGTTGGTTATTAAAGGCGACCTCCACGGGCATGTGTGCTCGAGTAGTGATGGCTTTGAGAGTGTCCATGGCGGACATGATTTTGACACTAGAAATGAAGCGGGAAAGAACATTTTGGATTTTGCCTTGATGTATGAATTGGCTATAATGAACACTTACTTCATGAAAAGAGATTCTCACCTTGTGACCTATACAAGTGAAACCAATAGTATTCAAATTGAATACTTCTTAGTACTGGCTACTTGGTGAACTAGCTAGTAGCTACACATATTGGATTTTGACATGATTTTGACCACTTGAAATGAAGCGGGAAAGAACATTTTGGATTTTCCCTTGATGTATGAATTGGCTATAATGAACATTTACTTCAAGAAAAGAGATTTTCACCTTGTAGACATTTAGACCTATATTATTATCAACTGTTATTCTTTCCCGTATCTTAGTTGGGTTTTGAATGCCTTATGTGAGGGACATTGTATCTTTTATATGGTATTCTTCCCGTATCTTTTACAAAAAGAAACAAATTCCCATGCACTTTGTAGTGGTTTGGACCTAGACCAGTTTTTTTTCTCTTTCCTTTTCCTGTTTGTAACTGTATTGGCAATAGTTCTACTAATTGATCAGTTTTGTAAAAGCTCTCTACTGTAATTACCTTGAAACTCATTCAAGAGACTTGAGCTTCTAAAAAGCTGGGTCTTAGCCCCAAATATATGCAATGAATGACTTAGGTCATTTTTTGTTTAGCCAATTAGCCTTTGCGTTGTTTTTGTAAGGTCTTGACAATCTCAAGTATAAAAAATTTATTTTATTACAGGCTGTCAAGATCCCCAAGTTTGACTATAGACTTTCAAATAGGTTGGAGGCAGAGTTGCAAAAACTAAGATGCAGAGTTAATTATCATGCTCTGAAGTTTGTTGACCCTATATATGAAATGGGAAAGGAATTGGTTCACCGAATGAGGATGAAAAGCAAGCATTTCATAGCACTTCACCTAAGGTTCGTCCTCAATGTTTCTCTTAGCTTACATATTGTACTTGTTTCTCTTTTTGTCAGTGGAGGATGTGGGAGTTTGAATCTTTGGGTGCATACTTACTTTTGAGGCACCTGATTGAGTTCGTCGCTACTGGTACAGTGGCACTTATTATGGTATTGAGTGCCCTTTTTTCTGTCCAGTAAACATTTATGTCTTTGCTTATGTTCCTCCTTTTGCATTTTCTTAGTACTACTGTTAGTTTGATTTGTTACCTTGGAGTACAGAACCATTTCCTCTTCTTAATACCGCGTTTTACAGTATGTTTTATAAGAAAACACTAATGCTACTTAAGACTTAAGTGGGAAATATGTTGAGATGAAGCTTAAGGAAATGTGCCCATATTGGTTTCCTTATCTCTAATGTAAAATTAGCAATACTTTGCTACCTTACAACTTGAACAAAGTTATTTGCTTATCTTTATTAGTAGTCACATTTCTTATTTAGTTTTGCATGATGCATCAGAATAGAGACAATTAGAGGTCTCAGAATATCTTGAAAATAGTAAAAGCTTCATTTTGATCTTGATCATCTATCCAAGAGAAGATAAGGGATCACTGGATCAGAAGGCCTGCTGAGTGCTGATAATGTTACTATCTTATATTCAACAGGTTTGAACCTGACATGCTTGCATTCTCAGGATGCTATTACGGTGGAGGAGACAAGGAGAGGATGGAATTTGGGAAAATAAGGAAGAGGTGGAAAACTCTACACGTAAGCCCAATTTTATTCTCTGTTTCTAAATGATATATTGTCTCTCACTCTCTATATTCAGATTGGACTTAAAATTGAAGTTTAGACGTTTAGTATATGATTTAATAAATAAGCGGTTTATAAGCTACATAACTGGAAGAAACTCACACTTTGATCCTTATCATCAGATAGTAATTTCTTTAATTTATTGAATACATATATTTTGAATAGGGGAAATAGCCATATCGAACATAATCTAAGAGGTAACCTTAAACCGATGATAGATAAAGGTGGAGGAAAGGTTGCTGCTTGGTCCATGGTTACCTCCCACCATCCATGCATGGAGTCGACACTGCGGCGTCAGAACTAATAAATGAAGAGCCAAAGATAAATAATCGTGTTAAGTTCAACTTACACAGGAGGTTAATCAGGTTACCTCTAGATAGAAGTGAAGATGAATATGCACTAAGAAAGAGATGGAGACAACGGGCCTGCTATAGAGAAGTAATTAGAAATTAACGTGAGATTGATTGTGTTGAATATAGATAGGAAAGGGTATATATTTACTTCCTCCGTCCACTCTTAGTCGCTATTATAGGGTGTTACAACTTACAAATCTCAATAGATAAAATGAAAAAGTAAGAATATTTATGTATTTTAGAGATGAAAAGGTAGGAAAAGTTGCCTAATGGAAATCGAAGCAAGTAGCAATGATCTTTCATAAAAGGAAAATGGAATAATACTGTCTTCCCCCAAATAGTTCGGATGAAAGTGCTGGTATTGATAATGACTCTTAGCTTTTCATCAATTTCATATCCATTACAGTGGCCAGTTATTTCAACCAAACTTTACTGTGACATAAATACAAAAATTATCATAAAAGTTTAAGGTGTCATAATTCATATCCCGTCATTTCAGGGAATGTATCATTGTCTTTAAAGCACATAATGAAATTGTAATATTTGCATGCTACTGGCTACTGCTACTAGCCGTTCCCATTTTTATCCACTTCTGATGCAGATCAGTGTTCTGTGCATCTAAATTCATTATGCAGAATAGCAATCCAGATAAGGGGAGGAGGCAAGGAAGATGTCCTTTAACTCCTGAAGAAGTGGGTTTGATGTTGAGAGCACTTGGATACGGCAGTGATGTTCATATTTATGTTGCATCTGGTGAAGTATATGGAGGAGGGGATACACTGGCTCCTCTAAAATCACTCTTTCCGAACTTCAACACAAAGGACACAATAGCCAGTGTTGAAGAACTACAGCCATTTTCTTCATTTTCTGCCCGAATGGCTGCACTAGACTTCATAGTTTGTGATGAAAGCGACGTTTTTGTTACTAACAACAATGGAAACATGGCAAAAATTTTAGCAGGACGAAGGTATGCTGCTATTTATCACAAATTTTAGCAGGACGAAATTTTTGAAATTTTAAAATGACAATATAGAGTAAAACTGTGAAGTGGCCAGTTTGTACGGTGGGGGATGGGAGTATGTGATCTAAAATGGGAAATGAGGGTGTGTTTGACTGCATTTAGTTATAATAAACCCCTCACCTTCGTCCCTCTCCCCATCTCTTAGTTCTCTTAGTTCGTCTTCCATTTTATCCACCCCACTTTAATTCTATTGAAAGCAGTCAGTACATCGATGTCTTTTTCACTTGATGTCTTTTAAGCTACAACCTTCTTGTTCATTCTTTTCACTTGGATGAACAATACTGATTTTAGGAAGACATTCTCTTTTGGCACATGCAAGTGACTTTCCTATCTAAGTTTAATTAAGCATGACGTTAAAATACTAGGAAAATTGTAATCCACAAGATGATTGCCACAGCCGAACCTCTCAAACGAATCAACCATAAATGTCCCCTAGTTTTATTATGTGGAAAATATCATGAGCCGGTGATGAATTGAAATGGTTGCTATTATCACTGTTCATTGCAAAATTGATGATGTAAAGATGACCTACAAAATCATGGAACAATGTTGTACTTGGTCATAAGCATGCTGTATTAAAGTTGCATCTATGTAATCTATTTAAGCTGCAAGTTTATAAGGCTTTGCTTGGTTAAGGTAAAATGGGAGAGAAACGGAGATTTTTTGTTGTTTGATGAGAAGAGAAGTAGGGGAGAGAGAAATGAAAATGGCGGGTCCTACATCTCTAGTAATCTCTCTTCTCCATCTTTATCACATTTTCTCTCTTCTCAGTTTCTCCTCCAAGCCAAACAGTCTCTTACTGATTATGTGCTACAATTGTGCTGGGCTTAGGTGAACCAATTTGTTTTCAATTCACTGAGTGCAGGAGATACTTTGGGCACAAACCTACAGTTAGACCGAACAGTAAGAAATTATGGCGTCTTTTTTTAAGCCGGAACAACATGACTTGGGAGGAATTCTCATCCAAAGTTAATAGGTTTCAAAAAGGCTTCATGGGTGATCCTATGGAGGTTAAATCTGGCGGGGGGTTTCACGAAAAGCCTTCATCCTGCATTTGCAAGCTCTCAGATGGTAAAGCAAAACTTTTATCATCATCAACCCCCCAAGAAGGCAGTCTAGAAGAATCGGTGAAAGAAGAAGACCAAACCACAGCAGATGATGATATGGGGGATATGTCTGAAGCTGATGAGCGTGAAGAAGATGATATACAAGATAGTTTGATGTCAGAGGAGTCCGAGCTGGATGAGATGCTCTCAGACTAGCACATAGTCATCATCCCAAATTTGATGAACATGTGAACCTTGAGGTAGGTGAAATAATGTATCAGCTTCGAAGAAGTTTCTACTTGGACAAAAACCTCGTGCAATCTTCCTTGAGATTTGAGAATAGCGATGAAGTTCAGCAAGGTTAGTATGACTAGTTTTTTTTTATTGTCATTTTTTATATTTGTAATCTTTTTCTTTTTCTCCATGTGTATCTTATATATCTCGTACAACCGTATATAAGTTTCTGCTATTGTGACGGCTATAGTGAAATCCATATTGATCTTATTGAAACAATTATTATATCGTGGGAGCGACCCATAGTAAGCATCGTAGTCCCACAATTAAAATGACATCATTTAAGTTTAAGTTTTAACTAAAAAATGCACTTGAATAAAATACGGAGTATGTTTTTGCCTCAATATTTCACGTGTTGTATATTCTGTGCAGTGAAATATAATTCGGGGGCAGCCCATAGTGAGCATCATAGCCCCGCAATTAAAATGACACCATTTAAGTTTAAGTTTTAACTAAAAAATGTGTGAACAAAATATATTTTTGCCTCAATTTATTTCATACTAAAAAATAAAAATCGCATCTTCAAGTTTTAATACTAAAAATTTAATTGCAATTTTTTATCTTCAACTTAAATTATAATTGAATCTAATTTTGTATTCTTTAACAATGCATAACGGAAAGTTTATTAATCTAAATAAAATAAGTTTATTTCTATAATATTTTTTATATTCATACACTTTTTTTTGTAATATATTTTTTATGTTCACACTTTTTTTGTAATATATTTTTATATGCATACACTTTTTCTATAATACTTTTTTTTATCTATTTTTATGTTTTTAGAGGTTTTTAAGACATTGACTTTGTTTATTTTGATAATATATGAAATAACATCTTCTTATACGCAAGTTGCATCTTATTATGCGTGATTTACATCTACTTATGCGTGAGTTATATCTTTTTATGCACGAGTTACATTTAATTATAGGCGAGTTACATCTAATTATTTATTATATTTTTTTACTTATATTTATCTTTAACTAATTAGATTACAACTGAATTAACTTTTTTCATTACCAATTTATTACAAAATTTTATTAACCCAAATAAAATAAGTATATTATATTTCATAATGATACACCATTTTTTTACTTTTTCCTTCATCTTAAGTTACTTTCGAATTTACTTTTTGTGTATTTATTTTTTACGTTTATACGCTTTTTGTAAAATATTTTTCATATTCATAGAGTTTTTTCTATAATAAATTTCTTGTCTCTTTTATATGTTTTAAAGACATTAACTTTGTTTATTTCAATTTAAATTTGATGAAATATGAGATTTCATTTTTCATGTGTGAGTTATGTTTATAGACATTATAAGGAGTTAAATGTGGTATTATACTATTATGTGAAGTTACGTCTTATGCGGGAGTGACATCTTCTTTGCTTAGTTACATCTTTCTATGCGGCAGTTACATTTAAACCTGTCTCAACGAGTTACATTTTGCATATATTTAAGTTAGTTTTTCATCAACACGGATTACATTTTCCATTACACGAGTTACATCATAAAGTCTTGCTACTTAAACAAAAGAATCATATTTTTTTTTGCAAAAAAAAATAGTTTTTTTTTTGCAAAAAAAAAAAAATAGTTTTTTTGGCAAAAAATGATTTCTTTGACAAAAAAGTGATTTTTTAGAAACATTTTTATGGCCTTAATATTAAAATCAGAACACATTCACTATTAAGTAAACCCCTGTTATTGAAATAAAAAAACATTTTTTTTTTGCAAAAACAAGTTTTTTTGGCAAAAAAATTATTTTTCTTTAAAACATTTTTTATGATCTTAATACTAAAAACAAAACATATTAACTATTTACGTAAATTAATTGAATAATTGGACTCCTTGTTTTCATCGTTTACATTTGATAGTATATGCATTTATCTTCTTATGTGTGAGTTACATCTTTATTATATGTGTCTTACGTCTTTCTATATTCTAGATACATTTGAGTTTGTCTCAACAAGTTACATTTTGCATTCACCAAACTTAGATTTTTCACTAACGCGAGTTACATTTTTCATAACATGAATTATATCACAACATAAAGCCCACTATTGAAACAAAAGAATCATTGTTTTGCAAAAAAAAAAAAAAATTTGGCAAATAATTTTTTTTTGGCAAAAAAAAATGGATTTTTAAAAAAACATTTTAATGGCCTCAATATTAAAAACAAAATATGTTCACTATTTAAGTTAAGTTAACCCCTGCTATTGAAACAAAAAAAATACTTTTTTGCAAAACTAAAATGAACTTTTTGGCGAAAAATGATTTTTTGGCAAAAAACAGACATTAAAAAACATTTTTATGGCCTTAATAGTGAAAATGAAATATATTCACTGTTTACGTAAAGTAATTGAGCAATTAGATTCTTTGTTTTCATTAAAATCAATGTTTTATTTCTTATAATTCATATTAGACAAGTTTCATTTCGACTTGTCTGCAATTACATTTCTTATAGCGTGTGTTACATTTCTTTACACGCGAGTTACATCATTCTACTACTGGGACAAACAAAAAAGCAAAACAGAAGTCATTGTTCACACACGTGAACAGTAACACGGCTACTTTTTTTGTTGGAGCACCATGCTAACCCTGGGTTGCTCTCACGATATATGAACTAGCATCATTTCGATCAAAATTCATATTATGTGTGGTCCGGGAACATCTCGGGTGGTCCCCACCTCCGATGTGGGTCCCACGTGGTAGTTACCATACCGGTAAAAGTTAAATCGTAAACTAAATCTACGATCACTTCCTATCAAGATGCCACATCTAATTCACCTCATGCCACATCGTGAACATTCCCGGGGTTGGTTTACACCTACTCCCTAATGTGGATCCCGCGTCCGGTTTAATAATCTTTTATTAATTTAAGACAGACAATTTCTCTTCCTCTCCCCAATCGCTAATAGCTCGGCTACACCCAACTACTCCGCACCCCTAGCTACATTCCAGCTCTATGAGCAATTACCTCCCTGCACTAATCCTCTCTAAATCACACATTTTCAAATTGAGTTAATTATCAAAATAGGACTAAAAGTCATTCACTTTTCACAAATAGGACCAAAAAATAAACTATGTTTGCATAGGACTAAATATGTGTACCTTGGACAATTATACCCTTATAGCTATTAAAATGTTTTAATTCCTAATAAAATAATAAAAAATAATAAAAACTCATAAAAAATATTAAAAAATTAAGAAAAACATTTCGATATTAAAAATTTAATTAATTTTTTTTTCAAAAAATTAAAAAAATTAAAAAAAAAATAAAATAAAAAACTCAAAAAAAAAAAAATCGCCGCCGCCTCTGCCGCCTCAGCACCACCACCTCCAGTCATCAGGGGAAAAAATGCCATATTTATGGCAGAAAAAAATGAAAATGTTGGCATTCGAAAAGAGAAATATGCCACTTTTTTGGCATTTTCAGAAAAAAATGGATTTTTTCTGGGAAAATGGCATTTTTTTCATCGGCCGGAGGTGGTGGTGCTGGGAGGTAGTACAGGCGGTGGGAAAGGTATCCATATTTTTTTAAATTTTTTTTACGGAGTTTTACTATTTTTTTTAATTTTTTTAAAAATAAAATTATTTTTTTTAAAAAAAGTTTTTGAATTTTTTATTTTTTAAAAATTTTATAATTTTTTTTATTATATTTCTACGAATTTTTGAATTTTTTTCGAATTTATTATGAATTAAACATTTAATTATGGCTTTTGACTATTTTTAATTCATATTTAATAGAAGGGTAAGAATGGAATGCAAAAATAGGTATGTTTCAAATAGGACTCATATGGTCCTATTTTGAAATAAAAACATAACAACTCCTATTTTAGGTTTTTGCCATAGTTTTAATCCTATTTGAACTAATTTCTATTTCAAATTTGAACCCGCACTTTCGATTAATGAATTTTATTTCTTAAAGTTCAATAAAAGACTAACAGAATAGTGTTGTCCTTCACTAATTTATAGTCAAAAGGTCAGAAGTACTCATCTATTCGAATAATATAATAAATTACTAACTGCATTTATAATTAAAATATCAAAAGCACATCTTGTATTGTCACCCTTACTCCTACTCCAATCCTACCCTACCCTCACTCCTACCCCTAAATCCTATTTGTTACCCTTACCCTATTACGTATAATATCATACCATTAATTTAGAATATTATCAAATATCACGGCAATCCCATATGATGGGATGTTGCCATGTTTATTAGTTTCCTTTTATTGTCTTTCCTTCTTTTCTTTGTCATCCCACTATATAAGGGATACATTGCATGGCCATCTAATAATACGTATGTAATGCAAACTATTTCGGTCACTTACTTCTTTTACCAATACTTTGTCAAATACGTTTCTTATTTCCATTATGGTATCAGAGCCTAACCTGGCTATACACACCTAATTTTTTCTCTGCCATACTCGACTCTCCAGCGAGATGGTCACCACCAACACAGACAACAACAATGGTGAAAATCCGACCATTGATTGCATGTCCCCATACTATATCCAATCCGGTGATAAACCCGGCGATGTTTTCATGACTACACTCCTACGAGATGGAAATTATGGGGATTGGCTTGATGAAATGACCAACGCCCTATATGCCAAAAATAAGATAGGATTTGTGAACGGAGATATCCCGATGCCAGAAACCAAATCCCCTTACTTGCTGTACTGGCAATGTGCTAACGCCATGGTAAAAGCATGGTTAAACAGCAGTATGGAACTGGAATAGAGACAAAGTGTCACGTTCAAAACGGCACGAGAAATATGGCTAGATCTTGAAGAACGCTTTGGAAAGGAAAGCCCCCCCGAGCATATGAATTATGGTGCACACTCGGAGCCGTTAGACAGGATGGCCAATATGTGTCCGCATATTTTATCTGCCTTCCGACGAATATGAGATGAAACAGCGTCCATTACCAAAACGCCCGACTGTTTTTGTGGAAAATGCGCATGTGATGTTGCAAAGAAAATTAACGAAGCCCGTGATCGTGATCATCTTTACGATTTCCTCATGGGCTTGGACGATTATTACGGGCACCTTAAAAGCCACATTTTAGCTACACGGCCAATTCCTAGTTTGACGACGGCGTATCATTTAATTTCAGAGGGTGAGCAGCATCGTATCATCTCAACGACGAGGAGGACGAGCATTGAGAACACTGCCTTTCAGATTCAAAGCAAGCCCATGACCACCACAAATCGGAAAACTGGAGGAAGGGATGGGCGGTTTTGCACTCAATGTGGACGGATCAATCACACATATGAGGCATGCTTTGAAATTGTGGGATACCCACCAAATTGGAATCAACGTGAAAAGAATGGAGAACAACGGGATTCATGAGGGTGTGACACCAAGCCACAAGCTGGACACGCAGGGACTGGCCATCCAATACGTGGCAGAAAAGGGGCCCCACCAAGGGCAACCCATGTTGACTTGCCTACTGCTCATGTTCCATGATTAACGGATGATCAACGTCAGAGACTAGCATATTTTATGCGTGCTGAACTGAATGAACAGAACCCTGAAATTAAGGACACTTCTGATACACAAGTAAACATGACAGGTAAAATCCACAATTACAGTCCGTGGATTATCGACTCAGGAGCTTCCGAACATATCACATGTGACAGAGAACTTTTAACAAATATTATAGCAAATCCCTCTGAGTCACCTGTTCGGATACCAAACGGTGAAGTCGTACCGATTCATTCCATTGGTAGCATACGACTGCCTAATGGACCGACGTTATCTCGCGTCCTTTTTGTTCCATCTTTCCATTGCAATTTGATATCTGTTCAACGACTCACCCAAGAGCATAATTGTGCACTTATTTTTTTGGGGATTTTTGTGTAATGCAGGACTTGCCCTCGAGGAAGCCGATTGAAGTGGGTAGGAGTTCTAATGGATTATACTACATGGACACTCTTGCTAGCGAACGTGTGGCATTGCAGGTTTCTTCCAAATTTGAAGTTTGGCATCAACGTCTCGGACATGCTTCTAATGAGAAATTGAGTCATATTGATATTTTACAAAGTTTCAAGAAGGACATCCCTTTTTGTGATTCTTGTGTGAGAGCTAAACAGACTCGTATTAAGAGCCACACCGGGGATGGGTATTTTTTTTATCATCCCAAGACAATTTTACTTTGCAGGGTTTTTGCGATGCCGATTGGGCCGGCTGCTCATTCACTGGCCGATCATGTTTGGGATATTTTATTACATTGGGCGGCTCCCCTATTTCTTGGCGGATCAAGAAGCAAAGTGTGGGCTCTCGTTCCTCAGCAGAAGCAGAATATCGATCCATGGTCGTTGCGGTCAGCGAAATCATTTGGTTACGTTGGCTACTACGTGATTTTGATATTCACATTTCCACCCCGACATCCCTATTCTGCGACAATCAGGACACTCGTCACATTGCTACAAACCCTGTTTATCACGAGCGCACCAAACACGTGGAAATAGATTGTTACTTCGTTCGTGAATGAGTCAGTAGTGGCGACATTCAGCCTCAACCAATTTCGTTTCAAGAGCAAATTGCCGATGTATTCATTAAAGCTCTTGGTCGTGACCAATTCCAATACCTTCGTTCCAAGCTGGGTGTTCGCGATCTTCACAATCCAGCTTGAGGGGGAGTATTACGTATAATATCATACCATTAATTTAGAATATTATCAAATATTACGGCAATCCCATATGATGGGATGTTGCCATGTTTATTAATTTTCTTTTATTATCTTTCCTTCTTTTCTTTGTCATCCCACTATATAAGGGATACATTGCATGGCCATGTAATAATACGTATGTAATGCAAACTATTTCGGTCACTTACTTCTTTTACCAATACTTTGTCAAATACGTTTCTTATTTCCATTATACCCCTACCCCTACCCCACCACTCCTACCCTATACTTGACCTCGTACTTGTTTACCCCTACCCCCGACTCCTACTCCCCGTCCTCTAGCCTTACCCTAACCCCTACCCCTACCTCTACCACGACCCTACATACCCACTACCCTAACCCCTCCCTAACCTACCCCTACCCTGACCCCACCCATCACCGTTACACCTACCCCTATCCTAACCTCGAACCTACCCCTACCATACACCCTAACCCTAATCCCCTACCCCAAGTTGACCCCACCCGTCCCCGTTACCCTACCCCTAATATCCACCTCCACCCCGACCCCCACCCGTCCTCGTTACCCCTACCTCTAACTCCCTTACCCCTATCTTAACCTCGAACCTACCCTTACCCTAACCTCAAACCTACCCCTACCATACACCCTAACCTTAATTCCCTACCCCAAGCCTCAGCTCCACGCCGACCCCTACCCATTGACCGATACCCCTTACCCCTTTGAGTGGTAGGGTTTAGGGGAGGTGGGGGTTTGGGATGTGGGTGGGGTAGGGGTGGGGGATGAGTAGGGGATAGGAGGGCAGGGGGAACAGACCGTAAGTATGTGTATACTAATATAATAAATTATAGTATATTTATACAATTATGTTTACCGTAGTTTTTGTTTTGTTTTCATTAGCCTTGACATTAGGATGCTTTTTATTGTGATTGTGGTGTGACGTACTCAAGTGGTAGGTGTTTTGAGAGACAAGTTTTCCCCTTTGGTCATAGTAGGCTTCAAGTTGTCCATTAGGTGGTTAGTGAATTGTTGTACTTCTTGCGTTAATAATTCAATGTCAAATACTAGGGCTGATGATCGAATTGGGGGTGTTTGCCTCATTGATGTTCTGTGAGTTTTTTGGAAGAAAAAGACTTAAATTGATATTACAACATTTAGATACGGAACAAACAGATGAAAGGACCACACCTAACCGCCAACCTTCGAATCAGACTTAGTGTCAATCACCTTCCAGAAAGCAATATGACTTGTTGATCCTAGAATGAGCATAATTGAGTCAAAGGCGGTCAAAACAGACCTCTCATCACCCAATCGTAATGCAAGAGTCTAACAAAACGAGAAATAAAACGCGAAGATAAAAGTAGTCTGATCAAAGTAAAAAACAAGAATGAAGATAACTGTATTAAACTTATGCTGCATCCCTTAGAACCACGAGGATCTTCCGCTGTCCTTTCCTTCCATAAAGCTTCTTTAGAACTCCGGATGGGTTTGGCGTCCAGGACCCGCCTCCTCCCCGTTTTTTTGGTCATAAGAGCCATGCCATCTTCACTAGTGTCCGTGAGGAGTGTATTGACCACCGGAAGCGCAACCCAACGCTCGCTTGCTTCTCCCTCGCCGTCGTCATCCTCTTCGAAAACCAACTCCTCCTCATCCCCACCAATAGTCATGTTATCGTACTCATGTACGATGTCTTCCACTCGTTCCTACTCGGAGTACCTTGCTCGACCAAATATGAATAACCCTTGGCCAAAGACTGTCGCCCGTTGTTGCTTGCACTCCTTGCCTCGCCGCTCTTTGCCGAAGGAGACAGAAGCGGAAAACTCAAAAGCCTAACCTAGAGGGAGACGACTGCTTTGAATTTTGACTTATAGGTTGATGTACTAATATAAGCCTTTTACTTTCAATATCTGCTATTATATCATCGAGTTTAGATTAAATCGGATATAAGTTGAATTCTTCATTTTTCTAATAGCTATGAGTTGAATTGTATGCATAGTACAACGTTGCAAGGTATGAAATTTACCTCCAATACATTTTTTTTCTGGATCTGCCATTTGTTGTAGACAGATGGAGTGATACATTTTATTTATTTTCTAAATAAAAGTACTGTATTTTGTTTCCAAACAAATTGACTTTTTTGTAAATTTCGATAAGATCCATTCATTCAATTTAGAAGACGTTCTCTTTGATTGAATTTTTTATGTTCTGATCCGATCTGAATTTTTCTGATCTAATCTGATTTGATCTGAATCTTTCTGATCTGATCTGAATCTTTATGATTTGATCTAAATCTTTTTTATTAGATCTGATCTGGTCTGAATCTTTCTGATCTGAACTGAATCCTTCTGATATGAATCTTTCTGATCTGATTTGAATATTTCTATAATTATAATTATTATAATTATAAGTGTAATTAAAATATAATTTAAATAAAATCATAATTATAATCATAATTATAAAAAAAAAAATAATTATTAAAATTAAAACTAAAATTATACTCCCTCAGTCCCATTTAAACGTCCCCACACGGTTTACGATGTATGACTGACCATAAATTTAACTGATCCCTGTCATTAGTGGAATTATTTTTAGAAAATAAAATTTACATATTCAGAAATTACATTAAAATCGCTACAAAGCCTGATCAAGAAAATTTAAATTTGATAAATGTTGGATATATAAAGTAAAAGATTAAGAACAATGCACGTTGACAGGAGAATAGTGGAGAGAACCTTTAAATGGGACGGAGGGAGTAATAATTATACCGATTGCATTAATTATAACAATAGATATAATTATAATTGTAATTATAATTTTAATATTTATTTCTATAATCATTATTATAATTATAATTATAATTAATCCGTATAATACTAACAACAACAACAACAACAACAATAATTCTTATTATCATGTTGATAATAATAATAACAAAAATAACAACAATAATAAATAATAATTGTAATAATAATAATAATAGTTGTATTATCAATAATAATAATAATAATAATTATTATAATATAATAATAATTATTGTTGTTATAATTATTATAATAATAAAAGTGATTAATCATATTTATACTTTTCTGATCTGATGTAATCTGAATGGTTCTTATTTGATTTGAATGTTTCTGATGTGATCTGATCTGAATCTTTTTGATTTGATACGAATGCTTAATGATGACAATTAATAATAAACAATAAGTAATACTACATCCGTTCCAAAAAATTATATCTATTTATTGAAAATTATTTATAATATAAAATTATATGAAAATGTTCTTTGTTAAAAGTACTTTAATAGAAATATAAAATTTATAATTTGCATAATATTACACTAATCAAAATCAATGTCTTAATTTTTTGAAATGATAAATTTTTTTGGGAGATGGGTAGTACTAGTAACTTAGTAAGTAATAAGAGTAAGAGAATATTTTCTAAGTGTGACAATTAATATGCGAGTGAGTTTCCTATGACTAACCGCCAGCCCCACTTGAACGCTTCTTCCATGAACCAACCAACACCCCCCACATCCCTAAAACCTTTCCTTCACTGCCTTTTTCGGAAAAAATTTGAAACCCTCCTCCAGTTGAAAAGTCGCCTTCTCCCACCACCGGTTTTATTCAATTCATGGGCGTTCCGGTACCGGAGATCGCGAAACAGCGCGCAATCTAATCATGGCATTTCTCACAAGTCCATTCAAACTAGCTCTTCTGTTCAGGCGATGGGCCTCGGAGCTCGACCGGAGGTTACTGCTGCTACTTCTTCTCCCTCTCTCTCTGCTTCTCATAGCCTCTCTGTCTTCGTCCTTCTCCTCCTCCGCTGTCTTCGGCCACCTCTTGTCGATCTTCGGCCGCTTCGAACCGCTCCCATCGGCGGAGTTGAATCGGTCGAGAATCGCTGTCTGTTTGGTAGGTGGGGCCCGGAGGTTCGAGCTTACGGGGCCCTCTATTATCCAGAGGATTCTCATAGCGTATCCGAATTGCGACCTCTTCCTCCACAGTCCTTTGGATTCGAATGCGTACAAGTTCTCGTTGCTCAGAGCCGCTCCTAGAATCGCCTCTGTGAAAATCTTCAAACCTGCCCCTATCAACGCGACCGAGTCACAAATCCGAGTTCTCACGGCCGCCAACTCACCCAATGGAATTCAGGTACACATCCATCTTATTTCATTTATTCCATTCTAATATTATCATTGATAATTCATCTTTATTCACAAAATTGCCGCATCACTAAATTCTACGGAGTACAACTTTTACTTCTTTTTCTACGGTCAATTATTACACCTACGCGTTAAAGGCCGCTAACGCGAATTTTTTCAGAGCGAGTAGTTTATGCTTCAAAATGGGCGTGGATTATTTAACTCGCCAATTATTACCAGATTCTAAAGGTGCTTTTAAAAAAAAATTGTACTCTCATTTCTAAAAAAGTGCTGTACAAAAAATTAGAAACCGAATCAATTCCAAGCACTTCCATATATATGACTCCATTATTTAGTTTGACTCCTTAAATTTTCCTCAAAGTTGCTTTGCTAAATTATTTAAAAAATCTGAATTGATCTATTAATAATCAATAAAAAGATATACTATCGTATGTAATCAGCTAAAATAGTTATTTTCCGCCAATTTAAGTTGCAAATTAATTTCGAATCTTCTTATTTTAATTACTATAGAATTCAATACACAAAAATAAAAAATTTAGTGTCTGATAAAAAACACTATTAATGTCATACTTAGGAATTTCATACATAGAAATTTATTAAGTGTGTGTTTATTCTTATGAAAAACTAAAAACAAAAGATTTCCATAATGTTTTATATTTTTGTTTCTAAGAACATGTTCAGTAAAATAGGCCATGTGGCACACCCAAGTATTTACAAGAGTGTTGAAAACATCCTACTTAGGATTATTATGAGTTTATTGATCAAATTATATGTTCATAGAAAATCTCCATTCATTTATTATCCCCTTCACAATTTTTTTCATGTCCATAGTATATCAAATTAAATCGTCACCCGACGGATACAATTACCAATGGTCCGACCCAAAAATTATAATATATACTAGGAAAATTCAAAACATATATTGCACACTATTTTTTATTTTAGCAATGAAAGCATTTCATATTTTTATCAGATATATATCAATAATAGTCTACGATTTGTTTTTCATACTATCATGTGTTTTCTATAATTAAGGTTGTTATAAATTTGTGCATCTTCTAATCTTTGCAATTTGTGCTAGAACTTTACCAAACTGAATATTAAAATTTATACAAAATTGACACTAATGTTCTATACTTTTAAACATTATAAAAAATAATATCCAATGTAAAAGTTCACAGTGACAATCCCTAGCTGTTAATTGTTTCATAGAAATGAACTGCCACACTAGTGATAATTTTCCTTTACATTTGTTCGTCTTTTGTGAAACGGTTAACAAGTTTGAGTTTATTTGTTCGTCTTTTGTGAAACGGTTTACCCTCCGTCCCTAATATTTAATGTTCTCACTTTCTTTTGGATGTCTCTTAATAAAGTTCTCTTTCCTTATTTTGGTAAACAAAACAGTGCAAAACACTACAATGCTAAACAATGTCAAAAGAGTGCCAAAGAGTGTCATGTTCTTAATGTGACTGCAAATTAAAGTGTAAACTTTAAATAGGGATGAAAAGAGTATAATTTTCAAACTAGGAATGATTGATGTCTAAACTTTTAACTTCTTGTGAATATAC